AAAACCCTACTAAAGCCCTAGAACACTCAATGTGGCCATAATAATGGCCACCCATTGACGCGAAAATTGGAAAAACAGATAAAGACAAGGAAAAGAACCTTATCGGAATGAAAGAAGTGTAGGAACTCACCGAAAAGAGCATCGTGAAGATGATGAAACAACAGCAAAGTGAACGAAGGCATTAGAAAACTTTCATGGATTGAATGAGTATTCTGACGACTTCGCCACCTTTTATAGTGGTTTGCATGGAAGACAAAAGGGCGGGGTTTAATCATAGTCGTTGATCTACAGTAAATCTCGACCCTTTATTTGTTGAGTAATCTCAGCCTTTAGACGTGGCCACGCATCATCTATCCAAGAGGGGCGATGAACTGTCAGACTGCTTCAATGATAACTTTCACTGCACGTCACCTCGACTTCACGCGTGGACAGCTGTAGTCGCCCATGCGTGACGAAACATGACCGATAAAGTCTGCCACATTTAATGCGACACGACCGCATGGAATTTACATATATATCCTAACTTTTCATTTTCTAAGTTTTGTCAAGTATCACAGGAAATGAAAATCCAAGTGTGAAGTACGTCGGCCAGGCGTGAGGTCGACCCTTGAAGCTCGGTAGAACCTGCATCTAATGACTTGCTGGTAGTGCCGAGCTTGATATCAGATCGAGCGATCGTCTTCAAAGCCCAAAACGAGCATCGAACACTAGGGGGCAGATGTTATGTGTGATTTTTCCATCAAGCTCGGTGAGTTGTGAGGTATTAGATAGGGGTGGGAGAAAAAATCCAAAAACCGAACCAAACCAAAAATTAGGTTTTCTTACAAACCGGTTCGGTTTTCGGTTTACAAATTGTAAAAAAACTGGAAAATCGATTCGGTTTGGAAAAATATGACAAACCGGTTAACCGAACCGGTTTTTAAAACCGGTTATACACATATACCCTAAGTAAGTATATAAGCAAACCCTAATTTTTTTCAATATTTTCTAATCTCCATTTCTCTTCTTTGCCTTCAAGCTCCAATCTTCTGCACAATACACACTATACACTCCAACAATCCTCCACATGGCAGACTCCACTCCCCTCCACTCACTCCACTCCACTACATTCAATCTTCAAATCTCCACACGGCAGCGCCCAGCAGCTCCACCCACGGTGAGTTGACAGTCCAGCAGCAGCAACTGCAGCACCATTCAACATCCATTTTTTGTTTCACCGACAGTCCAGCAGCAGCACCATTCAGCATCCATTTCTTGTTTCGCTGACAGTCCAGCAGCACCACCATTAAGCATCCATTCGCGTTTCACCGACAGTCCAACAACAGCACCATTTTACATTTTGTCGACAGTCCAGCAGCACCATTCAGCATCCATTTCGCCAACAGTCCAGCAGCACCAATCAGTATCCATTTAGCCGACAGTCCAGCAGCATCCTCAACCTCAAGCTGCTCCCCTACTCCACCACCAACATCTTCTAATTCAGCAACAGATCCAACTCCTATCAATAAATAAAATAAAAGAGAGGAGATCTAATCGGACGGCGGAGAGAGAAACCTCCGCTAATCCCAAAGTCACTGCTTCCTTCGCCATCGTCCAAGGAAACAAATTTTCGTTTTGTTTATTTGAGAAAATCTGGTTGTGGCTTAGGTGTTGTTCAAGTTGGCGTAATTGGTTAATCGAAGAGGAAGAAAATCAGTTAAAAAATCGGTTATTTTGCAACCGGTTTTTAACCGAAACCGGTCCGGTTTTCGGTTTACAATTTCTCTAAACCGAAAAACTGGTTCGGTTTTCAGTTTTGATAATCTGGTTCGATTAACCGGATTATCCCACCTCTAGTATTAGATCGACCCAAAATCAGTCTGATTCTACCAGTTGTCTCAACATATAACTCGACCCAACACAAGCTAGTCGCGAACAATTCGAATGATCATTCAATTGATTCCTAGATAACTTCATATCCTAGATATTACGGGAACGATCATATTAACAGCAATCTCTACGCAATCACAGTGCCCAATTGCAAGAATATCGGATTTGTAGTTCAAATCAATTGTAATCCCTTTATTTTTGCTCTTTCCTTTGTACAAATATTGTCTTTTACGTTATTGCATTTACCATTCATCCATCACTAATTATCCATGATCACGATCACATCTATTCCGATTCCACCAAGGTCAATCGGATCTCTCTGGTTGGTGCGAATTTTTGTATCAACACATGTATATGGAATTCGTCAATTATGTGATATTGTAACGTTTTATGAAGAAAATAAATAATTTTTTTTCAATTAATTAAACGGAAATTTTCATCAAAACAATATTACATATACATAAAGGTGCTTACTTCGCTTGTAATGTTTAATTGTGTATGTGATACCTTAAAATCATCTCCAATAATCACGTAGTGAATTGAACCACCAATCACATAGTGAATTGAAAGTCCAACAATTTTTCCATGTTTAATTTGTCAAGATATATATTTACATTAGAGAGATATTCTTCTTCTTTTTGTCTTTAATAAGAGACTTGGCTAATATTATTTTTACAAACTCAAGGACGAAAATTACTCACATTTCAATTACACCAATCTTATCTTTCTTTGTCTAGTTTGTCAAAGTATATAAATCCACATTTCAACATTCAAAAGCCCTTCAATTACGTCAATTAGAAAAAGATTCATTATAAGATATATATTGCCAATATATGTATTGACGTACCTCTCTCCTTATTTGTCTTCAAATACAAGACTTGACTACCACGAGTTTCACAAATTAAACAATTGGTGACCGTTAAATTTACTCTATTATTTGGTTTGTCAAAATATATAAATCCACAATTTCAACATTGAGAAGCCCTTTAATTACGTCAATTAGAAAAAGATTCATTATAAGATATATATTACCAATATATGTACTGACTTACCTCTCCCTTTATTTGTCTTCAAATACAAGACTTGACTACCAATAGTTTCACAAATTAAACAATTGGTGACTGTTAAATTTACTCTATTATTTAGTTTGTCAAAATATATAAATCCACATTTCAACATTGAGAAGCCCTTCAATTACGTGAATTAGAAAAAGATTCATTATAAGATATATATTGTCAATATATCTATTGACTTACCTCTCTCTGTATTTGTCTTCAAATACAAGACTTGACTACCAATATTTCACAAATTAAACAATTGGTGACGTTAAATTTACTCTATTATTTAGTTGTCAAAATATATAAATCCACATTTCAACATTGAGAAGCCCTTCAATTACGTGAATTAGAAAAAGATTCATTATAGAATATATTGTCAATATATTATTGACTTACCTCTCTCTTATTTGTCTTCAAATACAAGACTTGACTACCAGTAGTTTCACAAATTAAACATTGGTGACCGTTAAATTTACTCTATTATTTAGTTGATTGAGATTGACTTGATGAAAATGTGGAAATCACTAACGGCTTTCAATTTCAAGTAAACTAAAAGAACATAAATAGTTGCATCAACTGATTGAGATTGTCAATATAAAACATTAAATCAATGGAAGGATAATATTGTAGTTTTTTCCATTGACCATGCCCTTGATCATCCAATTAAGCAGAACATTCAAGAGGGGAGGTGGCTGATAATTATAAAAAAAAAAAAAAAAAAAAAAAATTAACACTGATATTTATAGGTTAAATTTATGCAAACTCTTATTATGCTCGATTATCAATCTCTAGTTGAATACAAAGTAATTTTTTAATATCCAAATTTTACATTTTTGGTCATAACTATCTCAATTAATTCAAAAATATAAAAGCCTAAAACTTTTATTAATATTTTGATCAGGAAATTAAAAAAAAAAGAAGAAGAAATTAAAATTATTAGCCGTTTAATATACTCCATTAGTTGATTGAGATTGTAATCACTAAAAACACAAAAGTTGACTGACTTAAATTTTTCTATATATTGTTAGGGTATGAAATGAAAATTAAAGACATAGAAGCAGATTGATAGGCTTTGAGAGAAAGTGTGATAATGGAAAGGTTATTAATGAAGTTGTCGTTGTGGTTTGCAATAGTTGTGATACAAACATATGGATACAAAGGTTGCTTGGAGAAAGAGAGGATTGGGATGTTAGAATTAAAGTCCTTCATAAAATCAATCAATCTTTATGATAAAGAAGAGAAATTTATTTCATGGGTCGATGATAAAACATCTAACTGTTGTGGTTGGGAGCGAGTTAAGTGCAATGCCACCATTGGACGTGTCATCGAACTCTCCCTCGATTCTTCAGTGCAATCCTACAAATTTGGATATCCTACTTTAAATTTATCCTTGTTTCATCCTTTTGACTAGTTGCTAATCCTCGATTTATCTGGGAATTACTTTGGAGGTTGTCAAGAGAATGAAGGTATGTATATCTAATATTTGAGTAGTTAACTAACATGGTTTAAAGAAAAGTGTAAGGGGTAATGTTGATCAGAGAAGTAGATATATAAGGAAAAAGGTAAACTTGTAAAACTTCTCTCCATCTCCTTTTTTAAATTACTCCTATATGTTTAAAGGCCATATGTAATTAATTGCTTTTATGTATAAGGAGTCAATGATAATAAGGTAAGTGTAAGAAGAATTTAGTGTGTGTGAATTTATCAATAAACTATAAAAACCAATAGGGTTCATGCATAAGGTAAATGTAAAAAAATATTATCTTGCACAAAAATAGTTTTTTCTTTTATAATTTTTCAATTAGTCTTTATTTAATTTAAAAAAGAAAGGTATTGAGGATAAAAAAGAGCACATATCATAATTTTCTTCTCCACAACAACACACTTGTTTGTTTGTTTTTTTTTTTTTTAACAAAATATTTTACTTCTAAAATATAGTCCAATTAGATAACTTTAAGGAGAAATGTAACTTAAATAATAAAACTAAATTGTTGTTTATAGCCAAGCACTATAATTCATTTAAAACTGCTTATGATTTACATATGTTGATGGATTAAGTAAATATTTTCTTTTGGAGAAGGAAATTGGTATTAAAAATTAATAAAAAAAACTGGATCAATAATAGATGTTGACATTACCTTTACACAGTATATGACGGCTTCAGGAGTTTGAAACGACTCAAGTTCTTAGATCTTGCATTTAATTTCTTCGACGCTAGTCTTTTACCATGCTTGAATACCCTAACTTCACTTACCACTTTGAATCTTGGAAGCAATAGTATGGGAGAAGGTCTCACACCAGCGAAAAAAGGTAAATGTTTTTTATTTTTCATTTACAAGATTCAATTAATTAATTATAATCTTTTTATTTATTATTTCAAAAAGTAAGTATTTTTCTTGGTTCGGGTTTAGAAAATCTAACAAAATTGTAATAATGTTGGATCGAAATTATAATAATGTCAATGGAATTTATCAAATTACTTCTTTTTTATTTATTTATTTATTTATAATCGCTCAATCTATAATCTTTGAGAATTTATGGTTACTCTTACTCTTTCTAGAATTGATGAAGTGATTCCTATATGATTTTCAAAGTCTATCTACTTATCTTTTTTCTATCGTGCAGGTTTAGACAATTTGAAAAACTTGAAAGTATTGGACCTACAAAATAATCAAATAAGTGGATCTCTATCACGCCTAGGTATGTCCATGAATGCATGAATCAATTATATTTTTATTTTAAATATTTAAATTAATTAATTTATAGAAACTTGACCTTGATTATTACAGGATTTTCCTTGTAGATATTATTAATCAACTGCTTTCAAGGAAAAAATAAATAAATTAGAATGTCAATGGACAACCATATCTCTAAATTTATTTTATTTTAGGGGAGTGATTTTTAGTCATCATCTAAATTATTAGTAGCCCTTATATCTACATTTTTAAAGTTACTACATTTTTATATTCTTTATAATTTGAAACTATCTTCATATTTTACTTTTTATAAAATCTTAACATCCTTTTTTATATCTAATAGGAATTTACTTACAAATCTTAATGTAAATAACTAAAAATTAAAAGTAATTTTAAGTTTGAGACTTTTGTACTTGTAGAATAACAAATGTATATTTGCTTTCTATTAATTTATTAGGGATTTGAATTGTAATTGTAATAAAATTTTATTTGAATATATAAAATCCAATTATTGCATTGAATTATGAAAAAAAAATATGATTCTTTTTTGTATCAAAACATAAAAAATATAAGTGACTTATTTTTTCTAAAATTTCTTCTTGTTTTTTTTTTAAATTCTATTTCTGTTTTTTGTTGATACAGGTTTAGCAAATTTGACAAATTTGAAAACATTGTATCTTTTTGATAATCTAGTGAGCCAAGGTATGTAAAATCTAAAAATATGCAATATGAAATTTATGTGATATATTTTTTTTTTGGATAAAAGAATAGAAATATATATATTTAAACTAGAGATGTATTCACTGTCTTTACTATTGATGTACCAGAACTGAAATATTTATAATAAGCAATCTAGAACTAGAAATTTAAATATTACAATGTTTCACAAAGATCTAATACTACTTAAAATTTGTGAGATTTTTTAACTGCAGTTTTATGTGTTGGACTCAATTGATAATTGAGTACATCTAGCTGATCATAATTTCCTAATATCTCATTTTTCAAATTCTCTCTCTCTTTCTTCGGTTTAGGTTTTGCAAATTTGACAGGTTTGGAGGTATTGAACCTGGGTTCAAATGGAATAAATGGCTCTCTATCAAGTTTAGGTATGTTAAATTTGTAGCAATTCTCATTTAATTTTATCTAAGATTGGAAAATTCATATTTACAAATAAAACTACTTTATTACATAGCTAGTTGCTTTAAGTAATATAATTATAACCTAATTAATGATGCATATATTACATAGCATGAGAATTTTTGAAATAATTGTTTTATTATTATATTATTATTATTAGTGAATTCTGGGCTGAATTATTAATGAAGTGTGAGACAATCCAGTATCTATTATTTTAATAATAACAACAAATAGGTTTCAATGTTTTAAGATAAAATAAGTTAGAATCATCTCGCCAATATTTCTGGCTTTAATAATTTGAAACTCTTAATATAATAAATATGTTATATTTAAATACCAATGTTGAACCTTTTATAATGATTTAACCTTTTGAGTGTCTGTAATAAATTAGATCAAAAATTCAAAATACTTGCAGTTTTAGGTGTTGGTATCAATTAATCTTTTACAACACATAATTTCCTATTTGCTTTTTTAATTCTATTTTTGTTTCTTGTTGGTGCAGGTTTAGCAAATTTGACAAATTTGAAAACATTGAAACTAGGTTATAATCAAATCAACTATTCTCTAGCAAGCCAAGGTATGTAAAATCTAAAAATATGCAAAATGAAATTTACGTGATATATTTTTTTTCAATAAAAGAATAGAAACATATATTTAAACTAGAGATCTATTCACTCTCTTTACTATTGATGCACCAGAACTGAAATATTTATTACATTATAGTAGAAGAAAGCAACCTGGAAGTTTAAATATGACAATGTTTCACAAAGATCTAATACTATTTAAAATTTGTGAGATTTTTTTAACTTCAGTTTTATGTGTTGCTCTCAATTGATATTTGAGTACATCTAGCTGATCTTACTTTTTTCATAATTTCCTAACATCTCATTTTTCAAAATTTTCTCTCTTTCTTCGGTTTAGGTTTTGCAAATTTGAAAGGTTTGGAAATATTGGACCTGGGTTACAACGGAATAAATGGCTCTCTATCAAGTTCAGGTATGTTAAATTTGTAACAATTCTCTTTTAATTTTATCTAAGATTGGAAAATTCATATTTACGTATCAAGTAATATAATTATAACCTACTTAATGATGCATATAGTGACCAATTATAAAGTAAATGAGGGTCATAATATAGTAACTTAAAATTTTTATTTTTATTGAGATAGATATATTTCTTTTTCTGCCAAACTCAAAAGTATAACGATTCCTTTTTCTCTCCAACTTTCTCAGGAATATGCGAGTTGAAAAATCTTGTTGAAGTTGATCTTGGTAAAAATAATTTTGATGGTCAACTCCCTCAATGTCTCACCAACTTGACGTACCTCAAAGTTCTCGTTCTCTCATCAAATCAATTAAGTGGGTACCTGCCACCTTCTGTTGGTGATATGAAATCCCTTGAATATTTGGATCTTCGAGAAAACAACTTTGAGGGCTCATTCTCATTGAGTTCGTTCACTAACCAGTCAAAGCTTGAGGTATTCTTACTCTCAACTCAAAACATGTTTCAAGTAGAGACTAAAAACTGGTTCCCTGCATTTCAATTGAAGGTCCTCGAGTTAACCAATTGCAATTTATATGGCATCCCGAGTTTTCTTCTATACCAATATAACTTATATTACATTGACCTCTCTCATAACAAGTTGGCTGAAACATTTCCCACTTGGTTGTTAGTTAATAACACAAACCTGGTAGAAATGCATTTGGCGAACAACTCGTTCTCAGGAATTCTTGAACTGCCCAACTTCAAACATGATTTGGCTATTCTTGATATTTCCCGTAACAATTTGAGTGGTCAGTTCCCCAAGAATATTGGTAAATTATTTCCAATGTTGAAGTTGTTGAACTTGTCACACAACAATTTTCATGGGCAAATATTTCATAAACATATGAACTTGCCTTTCTTGAAACGCGTGTATTTGAACAATAACAACTTTAGTGGAATGATTGGAAAGGGACTATTAAATTCAATGGGTTTACTAGTCTTAGATATCTCCAACAACAAGATATCTGGTCAAATTCCTTATTGGATTGGTGACATTTTATCTCTCCGATTTCTTTTAATGTCAAAAAATCTTTTAGAAGGAAATATTCCCATTCAACTGAGCAATTTGATACTCCTATCCATTTTAGACATCTCTGAAAATAAGTTGTCTGGACCAATATCATCTTCCTTTAATTGCTCTTCTATCAAAGTATTGTCCCTACAAAAGAATGCTTTCACTGGACCAATTCCAAATTCATTGTTCAAAAGCTCTGAGTTAACAATGCTCAACTTAAGGGATAACCAATTTTCAGGAAGTATACCTACTTGGATCAACAAGCATTCAAGTCTACATGTACTTCTTTTGGCAGGCAATGACCTACGACATCATATTCCCAATCAACTATGTCGACTAAGAAAGCTCACCATCTTAGATCTTTCGCATAATAGACTTAATGGATCAATACCATCATGCTTTACTAGTATGATATCTTGGACAAGAGAAAATTATGTTGATCATGATTCCACAAATGCTTTCAAAGTACTTGATCTTTCTTCGCTTGTTGGTTATCCCAAAAAAATTGCTTTGTACAATTCCACTTTGTCGTTGAGATTTGGTGTTCTTGATTTTTTATCATTTAAACAATTCGATGTGGAGTTTTTAACAAAGAATAGGTATGATTTTTATAAGGGTGACATTCTTAATTTTATGACTGGATTGGATTTGTCAAACAATGACTTAACTGGAGATATCCCGTCAGAAATTGGAGACCTTTAAGGAATCAAGGCACTGAATCTGTCTAATAATTTGTTGTCAAGATCTATACCAAAGAGTTTTTCCAACCTTAAAAATGTTGAGAGCATGGATCTTTCCCACAATAAATTAAGTGGTGAAATTCCATCTGAATTGATGGAGCTATACTTCTTAGGGACCTTCAATGTCTCATACAACAACTTGTGTGGCCCAATCCCTAATAATTGGCAGTTTGGGACTTTTGATGGAAGCTCATATGTCGGTAATCCTTGTCTTTGCGGTCCAATAATTAATAAGAGCTGCACTAATGCGCCGATACTACCCTCATCACCATCTAATGGAGAAGAAGGAGAAGAATCCGCAGTTGACCTGGTGGCATTTTACTGGAGTTTTGGTGGATCATATTGCGTGGTCATATTGGGGTTATTGGTCATCCTTTTGATCAATCCACATTGGCGTATGGCATGGTTTTATTTTGTTGACAAGTGCATTGATATGTGTTTCTATTGGTTTTCGAAATATATATCCTGCTAGGCTGTAATACAGTAACAGACTTGTTCGTGCGTATCTTGAATAATGTTTTTCCTTTCGTTGTATTTTGGTTTGATGTGGTTAATTTCTAAAAAAAATTAAATACATATTTCTTCAGTTCAGTTGTTTGTTTGAATTGGGGATATTATTTTCTCATGAAGAAGACTTATTTTATACATGCCGATAGACTTTAGAAGATTGCGATAAGCTATTATTCTGAATAAACAAAGATATATTTCTTTAATTTCACAAATTACAAGAAGAAAACATATATCAACATCTGAAAATGGAAAAAGTTCTACACTATATAAACGATAATAATAATTGATTCCATGAACAAATCATTGAAGCAAATGAAATTAAGCAAGAAGAAGAAATGACATTAAAAAGAGGGAAGAAACAAGCCACAGAAAAAGTAGTTTTTACTACAACACGGGATTAATGGCCAAACTCTTTACATTTCTACAATGAGGGTTTGGTTTGGCTTGGATTTAAAGGGACAATCCAGACTCCTCATCTTCATCAAGAGTGGCAGTGTAAGCAAAGTAAAGAGCCCAAATAAGACCAAACACACCCAAAAGAATCCAACCAAGAAGATTGTTGCTCAAACCAAATGGAAGACCTGTTCCTTCAGTGCTCATCCTGTCATCCACCAGAGCCATGGCTGGGTTTGACAAGGTGGCCGTGCAGGCCGCTGCCAACAGCGATGCGCTCATTCCCAAGCTTGACTTGTCTTCTTGCTTTCCCTCCATGGAACATCTCAATTTCCCCTTCATTGCCATTCTTGGCAACCCTGCATATGATATATCATGGGAAAATTTAGCTAAAGCCTTTAAACTAAACTCCTTTAATCAAACTGGATATTAAATAATTGATTAGGCTTACAAATTTGAGGATGAAATTCGCACCAATAATTTGATGTGAATCTTATTAACTAAATTAACTGTTACCTACATAGATCAACTAATTCTAGTTACAAAAGTCTGTTAGCTTTTCAATTTCTCTCCACATGGGTATCCATAATGATAATAATTTAAACAATTTTTTTTTTATCTAAAGAGCAAAATCAAGAACGAATCATCTTCATTACAGCATTAAATTTAGGAGAAACTAAAAATCATACCAAGAACAGGTGATGCAGAAGCTCCAGTGTGAGGCTTGTGAACAAGGGTGGCTCGGGTGATTGACGAAGTTGGGGCACTGGCGGAAATGGTGGCCATTGTTTCTTCAAAATGGAGTGAGAAATGAGCACAGGAGAAGTTGAAGTTCCAGCTAATTTTTCTATGTAATTTGGAAATGTATTTACAGATTAATATTTTTGGGGTCCAAACTTGCCACCACACAACATGGATGGATAGGTAACCCCTCGTTTGAGATCCTCTATCCACACCAATCCAACCACTTACCTCCACGTGTCTCCCACTTCATCCTCTCCCATCCAGTCATGTATTGAGCAAGCAAATCACTAACACCTTAGGAGTTAGGACCCATTCCAAATCAACCAATCTTTTTCTCCTCTCCACATCAAAATATAAAAGACTAGGGGTTTTCTATTTGAAATTTTTTTATTTTTTATTATTTTAAAATTTGAAATTCCTTTTACAATATATTACCTTCTTTCTCTTGTGCTAGCTTCATTATCCAATTAATTTAGATGAAGGAAAAAGAATAAGCCTGCTTCATCTGATAGGAAAGGGTAGAGGAACAAATGTGAACAGTCAAAAAAAAAAATATGAAACTGTGGAATCAGCAATGCAAATGATGTAAAACTAAATAAAATGGCTGTCCTTTTCCAAGTATTTCATTATAAGAAATGAGAGTTATTTACAGACATCTACCAGCACTATAACACCCCCTAGAGACTTGCTACAAGCCTACAACACTCTAGTTATTGCTATAAATCAAGCGAAACTCAGCGCCTAGAAGATTACTGCCGGAAAAATTTTGGAAAATTTTGGGTTGAAATTTACATGAGATCATCAAAGAATGAAGTAACCAAGTTGCAATTCCAGGAACAAGTAACCAGTATAATGTGGTCTTGGTCAATTAATTCTACCACTTTTTATGTCGAAATACTCAATTAGTCGTGGATGTTGCATCGTTGCAAGAATGGGTGGTCATACTTGACATGTCTTCCCCAATAGCCTTTATATTTCGAAATTCCAATATCCAACCACGGTTTCATGACTCCATCGTAGTGAATCACCGCTGCTCGCTCAATGTCTCGTCTTGTGATGCCTGAGTCATAACCTAGGCCAAGTAACTGCCATCTCCGGTCTAAAGCCACTGTCTGGTTATAGAAAGTGATCCAACCTAAAGGTAAGCTCCCAGCCTTCCACAAAGGCTTCTTATATCCCTGAAACAAATCACCAAAAAGAAACACATCATTAGAATATTCATTGCATCTGAGATTATTTCACGCATGTAAATGTATATCTGTGAACGTGAAAGTGTAGGAGTGTCGATAATATATATTTTTTTTACAGATAATAAGTGCTAAATCAGAATCTGTTGTTTTAGAGATAACGGAGATAAATAAATCTACTAACAACTTCAGATGAAGAAGGTAAATTCCCATACCAACTGCAAATATTTATGATATACAGAAGTTAGGTTACGTCTCCTCCACTGTCGAAGATTAAACAAATTCATCCCAAATGCCCATGTGCAAGCATTGACATCAAATCTCTTTGCCACCAATGGATCTGAGAAGTTGATAAACATATCCATCCGACGAAAAGAAGCTTCATTTACCTTACATGTCTCCACTGCTCCATTTACTTTCCCTTTCATATCAACACTCCAAAGTCCAGATAGATCACTCTGCACAACCACATCATGGTCAAGTAGTACAACCTTATTCAGTGCAGGAAAAACATCTGGCAGATAAAAGCGAAGGTGGTTCAGTGCCGAAGTAAATCTTGGGTCCTCGGTATTGTGCTTCTTCAATGTGGAATCATACTTGGTGGAAAACCATTTGAAGTTGTCTAAGCTCTGGACCTGGATAGTAGCTTTGCCAGGAGGATTAAATAAAAACCACATGGAGATTGCTGGGAAGTTGAGAGAATCAGTCACCACATGAAATACAATTTTAGCCGGTTCCTGCAAAAAGTCAAGTAATAATAATCATCCTTCGTGCATCTAATATAAGGTTTGAATTAGAAGAGTGATAAATCCAACTGCAGGTGATTTATCACACCGAATGAGGGTGCAATGACAGAATCGTGGTAAAAAATACCTAACGAAATTAAAATTGATATCTCACAGCGCAAATTCATGAATTAACATGGTATGTTAAATAATGCACTTGGCAGACTTTAGCAGTGTTAAAAATGCTAGTCCATTCAAAATATCCATATGCATATAGGCAATAAATTCAAGCATATGAATGAATTGATAAGCATTTCTGCAGATATATTAGAGGAAAAAAAAAAACATGAAAAGATATCCGAAATATCCAATTAAAGATAAGTTGGTAGTAACCATTATTACATTCAAGACATGCAACGTGACAAGAAATAAAACCTAATATCTAATCCACCAGATCTAACCGTTCTATTGATAAAACCATGTTCAAATTTGAGCAGGGCTCAAGATGTGCCAACTCTACCTCAAGACTTGAAAAACATTGCATATAAATTGACCCGTAAAATCCTACAAGATGATTATGTTCAGAGTACTTCACTTTTGGTTTAAGAGAACTATGTGGAAGTGCATCAGCAACATTTCAGCACAAAAATAACAAATACAAACAATCATTCCTCATATGTTTATAATAGAACGATATTAAGACTAATCTTCAAATAACTTTTCAAATTACCTTTTGGGATAAGTAATTCCACTTTTATTAGTTACAGAACTTAAGATAACCAAGAGTTATCATAAATAATTGGGGCAAGAAGAATTCAACCAAAAACAGTAAGAAATGGGGAACAAAAAAAGCAAAACTGGTCCCAGGAAAAGCAGAGGCATTTACCATTGCAGAAGATACTGTGGAGTTAACAACCACAGCACAAGCCATAATATTGTCAGAGAAGACAACATAGTGATATAGATTTGGATGGTGCAACTTTTGTTGGTTAGGGAACTGCCTCTCTTCAGGTTGCAGGGAAAAGTATTCAGCTGTCAGCTGCATAGCAAGGCAGTGAAGGCCTTTTGGGGTAGTTCTAGCAGCAAGCTGAGTAAGATATGAAGCCTGATTCTTCTGCAACCGCACAAGTTCTTCAGCATTGTATGCCATAGCACGGAGCTTAGTAGCCATCACGGGGCAGTCGGGGAAAACACGACTGGCTTTGTACAAGGTAGCCTCCATTCCTTTCATTTTCCGCAAAGCACTGCAAATTCAATGGTTCTCAGATCCCAAATTTTTTTATTGGTGATTCCTAAAAAGAATTTGGTATAATTTTTCCTTATTGTAATTTTTTAAGTGCCATACAAGAATCTCTTATTCAATCAGTACACAAGAATTCTCTTCAATTTCTTTTTCCAAAAGTCCACTATATCCTTGGGTTATTCTAAATGAAAAGGGGATTAGCAAATTTTTGTACCTTTTTGACAAATCAGAATCCTTAGTGGCGTCACTCACTGCTCGCTCCAACTCTTTAATTCGAACTCTCAACTCTTTCACTAAGTGAGAATTACTGCCTGATGGAGCAAAATTCAAGTATGCTTTAGCTCTAATCACTTGATCTTTGATCTGCCTCACCTTCACATCTGTCACTCTCAACACTGGAGGATGTACCTTTTCATCATGTCGAGCTGCTTTTAGATTGGTTTGCTCCTGCAACCAAGAAAAAATTGAAAAACTCATGCAAATTGCAAAAGTTGAAATAATAAATATACTGTTGAATATAAAATATAGAATATTGATGGCTGCACAAATTGGTGTTCCTAAAAATGCATACAACTGATTTTCACACACAAAGGAGAAGGAAAAAGAAACATCTCATTATAATTTTCACCTATTCATAAGTCCTATGGCAATCTTGATATATAGGAGACATATAAATATTGATATGTAAAAGAATAAAATGAGGCAAAGCTGTTTCAAACCACTAAAAGTATTATCCCCATCAATATATTCATAATCTTTGAAAAATATCTGGCCTTACCTGTTATGCATCATACCAGGTACTAGCATGACAATCTAGATTGTACTCAAATTAAAATTATCCTACATATGCATACCTTTTCATGGGAAACTGCCTTCTGTTCTAATTGCTGTTTTTCTTCTTTTCTTTCACCATTCATTTCTGAAAGTTTGCAAATTAAATTTCAGTTTACAATCTATAAAGTAAGAAGGCAAAGAAAACAAAACAAAAATACATACTCGTGATGATACCAACCATTGTTTTCCAAAATATTGAAAGTATCGCCAACACTTTCATACCGGTTGGACTTGTTATTCTCATCAGAACTGCCCAAACTAACTGCAGAACCAAAATCCTTGTCTTTGTATACAACCAGTTTCGGCTCTTTCACTCCTTCTCCAGCTTCCTGAACCGCAAAGCAGGACAAATTCCACATATTTAAACTAAACAAATATCAAACTAAAATGTAACAGCAAACCACAGTGTAAGAACAAATCACAAATTACCTGCTCAATTGCATTAAGTCTTACATTCTCTGTCAAAAGTTTCTGCACCAAACAAACAAAACCAGTCCTCAATAAGCAAAAAAGAAACACCATCTATAATCTATATAGTTGCCAGGACAATTACAAGAAAAACTAAAAGTATAAACCTAACGTTTTTCAACCTCTAGTAGTTACCAAAATACAGCAATTTTCCTCACTGCAAAGCGAGATTTCTCACTTCAGTGCATATAAACTAATAAAATACAATAAATCAAGAACTTGATTTAGTTTCCTGTACTCTATTTTTGCCAGCAACCAAACAGAGCAAGAAGCAAAATAACTGAAATTCAAAGAAAAAAACTCGTACGGGAGTAGACAAGTCATCCATGAACTCTTTCTTTCCTGCAAAAGAAATAAGATCAATCAATACACACGCATCAAATAACCATTAATAATCTATGCAAACTACAAAGCATTTACAATGATCCATATACACGAAGGAAATCAATCAACATCAAGAAATGCAATAATCAACAAACAAATTCATATTTCAAATCATCAACATCTGATTAAATCTGATTAGAAATATGTATCAATTCATATGATCACGCACACTATCATCACTAAAGCTTTCTTCTCTCACACAAATATTCGTACACGCATCCGAGAGAAACTTATCGGTTCAGGAGTATGTGCACGGAAGCTTACCGACGGGACTGAATGTTTTGATCCTGCTAGAGACGAACACAATCGGAGCGACCACCGAAACAGAGAGCAACGAGAGGATCATGATCCTCTGCCATCGCCGAACTTGATTCATCAATAACAATCTCATTTTCTGCTCCGCCAAAAAATAATGAAAACTAAATCCTTAAATCTTATGCAACTTCTTCTTCTTCTTTGTTTCTCTCTTCAATCGTTCTCCAGAAAGCACATTTCACAGATTCAAAATCGAGATATTCGAAATTTGGACAGCAAGTAATAGAAAAGAAAAGAATAATTAAATTAGGGTTTGGAGTTTCCCTTTTTTGATGCTTTGCATTTTTGGAAGGAGAGAGATTTAGTTTTGGTTTTGGTTTCAGAGAGAAAAAATAAACGTGAGCGAGCTTGTTGTTTCATGTTCGGGCGGGGCTGTGAGGGGCTGGCTGGTCTCTGGAGGAGGTGGCTTTTTTTTTTCTCTTTTTTTTTTTTTTTTTTTTTTAATTTCTTGTTTAAAAAAAAATCTTTTAAGTTATTTAATTTGATGTATTTCTGTTTGGAATTTATATACTTTGAGGCTGCGTTGAGATTCGAGACGCGAGATGAGAGGAGTGGTCGCTACGGTGTTGGTGCGTACGTGGCAGATAATGCGGACGAGGGTTTAAAGTCGTTGATTTTGATGAAAATTTTTTCATCTGTTGGTCATATGGTCAAGGTCAACTGCGGTTTAATTTTCTTGAAACGCGTTTAAACGTGTTGATTTCAGTCTAATCTAATATTTCATAATTACGGACAATAAATAATAATTATTAGTAATAAATGGAATTAAATAACTGAAGCGTTACTAATGATTCTGATTGAGAAATAATGTTGATAAGTGATAAGTAGCTCATGTGTCGTGATTGGATTGGTCAGAGGCATTGGCAATTGGGCTCATTAAAGTGATAGATAGGTCCATCCAGGGGGAAATGTCAACCTCAAACCTAAACCTGCCAATCTAACAGAAGTCAAGGAGGAAATGAGAAGGGCCATTTTGCTTCTTTGGTTTGGCACTTTGGCTTCTAGACTTGTGTTATGTTGAGCATGTGGACCATTTATTTCATTTTTGTTACATGCATCTTTTTCGTGATCTAAATTCAACCAAACTTTGGATTTTGTGACTATGATTAGAAATAAATAACGATAACTAGCAGGGGTTTATCTCATTTATTCATATTATAATGTATGCGTTTGGTTTAATATTTTTATCCCTATTCTGGATCCTATTTTTCAAATAGCGTTTGGTACAATATTCTCAAATATTACCCTATTTTTTTTAATTACATTTTAACCCCATAAGATTATTAATTTCACTAAATACCCCCTGAAAAAAAAGTTTAAAATTACAAAAACACCCCATCACCCAACTTGTCAGATTCCGCAACCACCGTCGGTGATCGCCGAATCTGTACAACGGCCAAACTTCTGCCCAGAAATGGCCGGAAGTTCACCGCTGTGGCCTTTTCCGGCCAGATCCACCACGGATCTGGCCGGAAAAGGCCAGATCTGGCCGTCAGCGACGGCCAAAGAAATGGCCGTCGTTGACCGAAAACGACGGCCACATCTTTGGCCGTCGTTTGGCCTTTTCCGGCCGTCGACGGCCAATACAAACCGTAGATCTGCCTTTTCCGGCCAGATCCACCATGGATCTAGCCGGAAAAGGCCATAACGATGTGTTACGGCACAGATCCGACAAGTCTGTGCCGTACAAAATTTTCCGGCCAGATTCCAGCGGTGGTGGCCGGAATCTGACACTGCAATGGTGGGGGTGTTTTTGTCATTTTACATGTTAGGGTCTTTATTTAAATTAGTAACCTAAGGCTTTTTTATAAATTTTTAAAATTTACCTCGTAATACTCCCATATCCAATAACCCATACTATCCCTAAAATCCTACCCAAAATCTAAACCAAACGCACCCATAATGTTACTGAAAAACATAATATTAAAATTGTCTTCAAATTTGGCTCAAATCATATATAATATTATGTGATATGAGATGTAAAAAAAATTAATTTCATAAATGACATGCGTAAATACCCTATCACAGTTTTTGCTTTTAGAGAAATATTTGTTATAGTTTTAATATATAACAATAAATGTTTTTAATGTTGAGGTAAATGAAATAAATATATACAAAGGGAAATCAAAACGGCAAGTTTTGGTGGTTGAAAATAGCCCATAAAATCTATAACTAATTAACTACCTTTCAATGAATTTTTCCCTTTAACAACATCAACTACTTTACAACCTCCACTCATAGTGTTTGCCTCCGACTATTGTTCTTCTTTTCAAAACAAATTTTAGTATTTAAATTAACAATTAAAAAAAATAATATGTATTAATCTTTACAAACAATTGACTCGTATTATAAAAATCAAGTCTTTCAGTATCAAATTGAGCATTTATAGTCCCGTTGTTATGTGTATTAAAAATATAAGCTTCGAAAATGAGATTCTTTAGAGATCGATAAAGGAAAATTAAAATATGACTTAAATTAAAAGAAAATTTAAGAAGTAATTAAAATATTATAATTTAATATTCGACACTCTATCTTTGATTCTAAAGATAATTCTAATTTTATCAAAATAGAGTTTGGATAAAAATACAAGAAATTAGTTTCAAAAACCTTTATAGAGAATAAAAAACTAAAGACAATTTTGGTAATTTAATTTAAGAATGAATTATTATAATGTATTTATTAAAAAAAAGGGAAGTCTTTACCATTGAGTATTTGAGTGCAACAAAACCACTTTAATTAGTTATTCTTGTTTTCATGGGATGTTTAGCCCATCATAGTAAGCCCAGATTATGGAATTTTAAGTATTGTCATTTCTTATTTCTATGGGCCAGCAAGTAAATCCATTTTTTTTTTCTTATTTTAATGGGGTAAAATTGTATATTATTTTATAGTTAAATTAAAAAAATCATTTATGTTTTAAAATATCTTTTATTATCCATTGAAAAATAATATTAGATTAATGAGGTAAAATTTTATACTATTTAATATATGCATTTTGAATGACAAACCTCATTATTTAAATATGTACTTTTTTATTATTATAGATGATGTCTCACATCAATAAAATTTATAATTTTTTCGCATATACTAACAAATAATTAAATATATGAAATCAAATATGATGAAGAGAAAATCTAATTCAATAATTTTATTTTATTTAAAATGAGAATCATTTCATATACAATTGCAAAACCCAAGAGAATAAAATAAAATTTACAGTGAAACTCTCACAATAGAGTAGATAAACAAGTGTGTAGCCCAAAGAAACTCAATCTACAAAGAACAAGTGTTGTGTGTAGCAAGGATTTAAATTAGAATATGGTATTAGCAAGTCAAAGCTCAAGAGATTTGTTTAAATGCTTTTGCTTTAACAAATATGAAATTTTAGAGTGTGCAAAATTGTTTCTGAATGGGTTTGGCTTAATTTATTTAATAGAGTCCAAAAATATAGCCGCTTTGCCCAAAATTGGAATTTGAAAATCATAGAGACCAGTCGATCGCTTTGAATTCGGACAACCGGATTTCAAGTAGAGCCTACGTGACACGTAGCCCTAATCGTTGGAACAACTAAGCCACATCCGGTCGACTGACCGGATTTTTTACGAGATTATCTCCTGGATTTGTTCAATCTAATTGACCGGACCAACTGGGTAGAATAAGGTCTACTCTAGTTCAAATCCAAGAGATAATCCCGTTAAAAATCTGGTTAGGTAGATGGGCTGAAAGTGCAAGTTGTCAAACCTTGGCAACTATCACTTTTAGCCCATTATTAAAACTTAGAAGTGAAATCTTAGACGTACAAATACTCATATATGAGTATTTGTACAAAGTGATGTGACAACTATCATACCACTAGTTTGTGAAAAGAAAGAGAAGATTGATGTGAAACTGGTGGTGTGATACCTGCCACATCACTTTGTACAAAGACTCTTTGTAAATTTAGCATTTCCCAACTTAGAAATGGATCTACAATCTGGTTGGACCGGCTCACCATATGAAACTTAGAAAATATCATTTTAACTCCAAATGTTTGAAAAGTGACATTTTGGTCCAAATTTGAAAAGCCAAAAACAAGTTTTTGAGAGATTTCACATGCAATTGACCTCTTTTTTTTTTTTTTCTCTTTTTTTTTTTTTAAATTTATTTATACTAAGAATCATGCTTTTACAATAAAATTAATTACAATAACATATACCTAGACTAAACTTTCTGAAATTCTTCAAATTTCTTCATCCAAACTTTGTTTTTTTCCCTCGTTAATATTTCTTTGAATGCATTAAGAACTTACTTGTCATTTAAGTGCATTAAACACAAGTCATAAGTAATACTGTTTCTGGACACATTAGTTTGTTATCACAAAAGTAAAAACATAGTGACTCCTTGAGTCAAAATATCCTTTAGTTGGCCTTGAACGATAAACTGTTATAAATATATTTGTTCTTTATGAAAGAAGATAAATTATATTTTATTGATTGAAAATATTGCAAATCATTGATGCCAAAAAAAAAAAAAAAAAAGAAAAAAGTCTCCATTTATTCATGAAGAGATCGATAACAAAAAATTTGAATGCACGAGTAATTTAGAAAAGAAAAATAAGTAAAAAGAAAGTGATTTGTAGGCCACATGAAAGTGGAGAGGCAATTGTTATAATAAGCTTTGAGATAAAGCCATAAGCTAAAATATGATTTATTAATCAAGGCAATAGATTTGATAACCGAGAGACCTGAATCTTGATTATTTTTCTGCAAAAGTAGGAAAATTGCTAATCCACTTTATATATATATATACCACAATTTAATATGGTTAGCATGAAGTGGGAGACGTGCCTTTCATTCCTTGGCAAATGGTTAAAGGCTTTTATTATATAGTCCCAATAATGCATTATCAACCCAGTTATATCACTCATCCGCATGTTGCACGTATATGTTTATTCGGTGTTTTTGAAATAGGTTGTAGATAAATTTATTCTAACAAAATAAACTAATTAGATTAAGATATAATAATTATTAAATTATATAAATTTTAAAATAAGTATAAATTTTATATATATACAAAGTTGTATTAAGATAAAATTAATAATTGTACTTGTATAATTATTAATATCAATTATAGGTAGATGTCATTAAATCATTCATCCAACTTGAGAAGATCATTTGAATATTATATGGTCTAATTATATTTTCAGGATCATTACCTTGTACAATTGATATTATTTTTGTAGACATGTCTTTGATATTTGATGTCAGTATTTTGTAGTGAATCATATATGATATTTAAAATCACCTGAATATTATCAAGATCAACTATTTAAACTTAAAATTTATACTGACTTTCCGTAATTTTTGTAACTTATATTCATTTTCAAGTTGCATTGCGTGGGTATGTTTATTATATATTTTTTTTTTTTTTACAT